AAAAAAAAAAAAAAAAAAAAAAAAAAAAAAAAGAAAAAGACAAAGACCGGATAAGGAAGAGACCGGTCCAGCACGTTCCACTAAAAGAAAAGTAATTTCCAGCAAATGACAGGCGTTCAGCGTACGAACGTTCAGCGAGATCTCTTTTCTTTTGATCGTGGAGCGTCGTCCACTGGCGACGTCAGTTTTTCCAAACGGGCTCCAGCCGGACCCTCTCTCTCGTTTAATAGAAGAAAATCGTTTGCCCCGTTGTCGGACACACTACTGATACACGCGGCAGATTGGCGAGAGAAAGACAAGGAGCGCGGTTGGCCTTGTTCCGTTTCCGACTCGACGAGCGAACGTGGAAAAGGCCTCTGCCCTGACCCATCCTGTCTGTTGGTCGTTTATGCATTTCCGCTCGGCTGGCTATCGAGTGTACCGCTCGCTCGTCTCGACTTTCGTCCCCTCAAAGGAAACCGCGGTACAGAGAGACACGGTCAGTGTCGTCTAACGATGTGGTCCAACCCCGTTGTCGGACCAATCGGGAATCAACGTGTCTCTACATTTTGATTGTTGCCGCGTCTTTGAGCACTTTGACTTCTCTCACCTTTGCAAACGTCTCGCCTCTTTCGTCCTCGTTTCCACGCTGCGAAACTGAGGGAGGCTCCGGCCGAACTGATTGGCCCCAGTTGCTGCTGGTCTTCTACACTAGATCTTCTATCAACCGTTGAGAGATAATGCTAAATTTTGTGAATCTCAACGAACGACCGTTTTTCTCGCGTTTCTTGAAAGTTCTTGAAACTTAAAATTTGGGTAAAGGTGGGTAACACTTGTCTCGATCATCTCAGGGAAGCTACGGGTGATCAACGTGTCTCTACATTTTGATTGTTGCCGCGTCTTTGAGCACTTTGACTTCTCTCACCTTTGCAAACGTCTCGCCTCTTTCGTCCTCGTTTCCACGCCGCGAAACTGAGGGAGGCTCTGGCCGAACTGATTGGCCCCAATTGCTGCTGATCTTCTAGACTAGATCTTCTATCAACCGTTGAGAGATAATGCTAAATTTTGTGAATCTCAACGAACGACCGTTTTTCTCGCGTTTCTTGAAAGTTCTTGAAACTTGAAATTTGGGTAAAGGTGGGTAACACTTGCCTCGATCATCTCGCGGAAGCTACGAGTGATCCATCTCGGATTCGGAGAAGGAGAACAAGGGTGGCGTGGAGCTGCTTATGGCCCAATCGTCGTCGTTCAGTCGCGGCGAGGACTCGAATTTGCTGGTGGAGCTTCGTTTGCGAACGCATTCTCTCACCACCCTCTGCGACCATTATTTCGCACGGTTACACTTATTACCGCAGGCTTAAATTATTTTTTTAAGATTCAATTTCGACTGGTGCGCAAGTATAGCGTTGCACAAAAGAGGATAACTGTGCCAATGACAATGAGAAGCTGCCGAGAATTTCAACTCGTCTTAAAGTGCAAAGTATCTAATTCGACAGTGGCGAGTTAGTTCTTTTCAAACATCAGCTTTGAAAAAAGTAGGAATACACTTTTCATTAAGATTGTGAAAATTCAAACGCACGTGAAAATATTGAATTTTTTTTTTTTCATAATTAGATCCATTGTCATTTTGAAGAATAAAGTTTCTCCTTTTGAAACTTGGCTGTACAATTTTTTTTCTCCATTTTATTGAACGCAGAACATTCGAAAATTCAAGAAAATCCCAACATCTCGTCGTCTAACTTTAACCAGTTCCAAGTTCAATAAAACGGCGAAAGAGAAGATCGTGCAGCGAGTTTCAAGGTGTCGTAGAAAAGAAAATTTCAATCCTCGAGACCGCGGCATAGTTTTTAATTTTTTAACGCATTTGAGAGAAAAGTATCCTCATTTCCTCGTTCGTTATCACTTTCAAAATCATCTTAAAAACGAACTCACGATCATGTCAAAGAATCAAGGCTTCACGCTTTAACCTCCTGCGCTGGAATAACGTGCCACGCACGTCGAGAACTTTTTCGTCCGAAAAATTGCAATATATTTTCTCAGTTTTCGGTATATGTCTAAGTATAACCCAGGCAAAACAAATAGTAAATTTATTACTTCTCAATCATTCAGTAATATCGTACCAACGAGTTCAAAATGAAAGCGACGAATTGTTGTGCACGATTTGGTCACTCGTTATGGTCCGCAAATCAGTTGCCAGCGCAAGTGGTTGAAACGAGACGTTTCTCTCATATATTAATCCTCCGTCTGCTGTGCCGGAGTCACAGTTTTGAGTCGGATATCTGTCACAATATCAGTGAAGACCTCAGTTCTCGACCGTTACACTCTGTACAGTACCGGACGACCCTAAATATGCATTAGCAGGATATCCGTGTGAGTCAGAAATGACTGGACGCTGTGGTTCAGTAGTCGGAGGGTTAAACGCTGCGTCAAGAGTTACGACGTCACGCCGTAAGTTGCCGATAATTTTTCGTTGTCACCGGTACGATCATGCTCTTCGCTACTGTGCACGGACATACTTGTCCCTTCCGTCGTTTCCTGGCCTGCCCGTGGCCCGAGGAATTCCCCATGCCCTTCAACTTCGTCCTCGCCCTTCTCTCCGACAGAATCAGATTGTCCGTGAACTTCTTCACCACGATGTCGACTCTTCGATTAAGCGAATCGTCCGAGTAACTGCTGTCCGTATTGAGATCGCAGTCGAGCAGCAGATCGTTCCTTCTCGCCTGACGTTTCCAATCCTGTTCAACCATCTCCTCGCTTCCTTCACCGAGCCGAATCGCGTCCTCGTTCGACGCAACTCGATCGCGCGAGCAATCATCCGTCAGAATTCCAGAGTCCAACGACTCGGCGATCAATTTCGAGGAATTGGAGAGGTTCGGCGTCGAGTTTCGTTGGTAGCAGCACACGGTGTACGAGTTCACCAGGTCGTTCGGGAAACAATTTTCCCAGCGCGACGTTCTCAAGTTATTGCCACGCGACAGCCCGGTGTTCATCGAGTAGGCGTGAAGGAAACTGTTGAAAGAATTGTCGCTGAAGGAGTGGAAGTTCGACGGTGAAACGTTGTCAACGATCTTTGTGCTTGGACTGTGCTCTTGCTCTCTCATCGAGGTGTGATAGCTGCTGCGACTGCAGCTCAAGTCCGTGAAGCAAATGGAGGAGGTGCAGGTCAAGGAGGTGCGTAACGATCGTTTCGTCAATTCTTGCTTCGTCCGTTGGTGGATCGTGACTGACCTCGGCTCGTCGTCGTCGTTGTTCAGCAACGTGTAACGATCCGTCGAAGGTCGGCCATCGACTCGTATAACGTCGCTTGGATCCACCGCGTCGACGAACAGATCGTTGTCCACTGAGAAGTAATCGTCGTAGTCCTCCTCCAATCGTTTCTTCACGTTCCCAAGGATCATTGACTCGGAGGTTTTGTCCTCTACCAAATAATTCTGCCTCGATACCATCGGCGTTTCTCCATTTCCTGGCGAGTTTGCGTGATCGGACATCGCGTGAATTTCGCCGTTCCTCTTGTTCAAGATGCTTCGAATGTCGTAATTTTCGACGAACGTCAATGCATCGCTCCATCGTCGCCGAGGGGGAATTCTCGTCGAATCGCCGTCGGCGAAATTCGCCGCGCTGTCGCAGTCGAAGAACGTTTCCGTCGACGAGTGAATTTGATCTTTAATCGTCTCGCGTCTCTCACGTTTGACCAGCTCCCTCTCTCTCGCAGCTTCGCTCGTAGCTTCTCTGTCAGCCACGCGATTAAAAACGCTCCGCCGTTTTGCGCTCGCGCAACGAGACCCGCTCCTTTCTTTTCTCGATGAATTCTCCGCGTCGTGCTTCCTCGATCTTTTGTCAGTTCTCCTGATCCTGCGCTTCCTGGACGTACGAGCCCCGAGCGACTCTAGATTCGTCTTGCTCTTCTCGCCGTCGAAATTCGTCGTCGCGAAGATCGTCTCAATAACCCTGGAAGACGACGACGCGTTCGTTGAAACGCAATCATTCTCCATCCGACTCTTCCGTTCGACGTGGTTCTTCTTCCAGCTACCGTGACACGATTTGACGCTCGTGAACGTGGTTTGACAGCAAGCGTCCTTCTTCGATTTTACAGCCTGATCGTTGCGAGGTGCAACGCGACTTGTAGAATTGTATTCGCTCTCTGGCAAGAACTTGGCAAACTTTGCCTCTGCGCGAACGGATTGCGCCTTGTTATTTGGATCGACGGTGAAACAAATATCGCCAGGTGGGTCTATACTCCCTTTTGCGTTCTCTGTAAACTGGCATTGGCTGCCACGCGACTCTAACTTGGAAGAATTTCTCGTTGAAAATTGGCCACTGCACTGCGAAGCTTCGCACTCATGTGGAAATGTTTGCGAGTGTTTGCGACGTGGCATCGCGCAGTGCGATTTATGATGACAGCAGCATCGTCGACATCGCGAGATCGCCGACGTGGAAGAGGAGAAGGAGAGATATTCAAAGTCGTTCTCATTCGGCGTATATTTCCATGAAATGTGCAAATAACTTTGACACCTGTAAATATATTTGCATTAATCTTATCAAATAATAGAGTTTTCGTTGTTTAAGGGGGTATTCTGGTAATTCGGCTTGATAGAATCGACTTTTTTGGGATTTTTTTTTTAAAGAAACCGTGATACATTTTGGCATGCGGTTTTCGCACACAGATTTATTCATACTTAAAGAGTATTTATAATTTTTTTTTTTTAACGAAATTAATGAAAGTTGTGGAAATTGTATAGCCTTAGGTAAAGCATGTTTTTAAAAATGGGTTCGAATGCCTGACGTGATTCCGGTCCATCTGGTTATTTGAAACTAAGGAACGGAAATGCATCTTAATTAGTATAAATGTGGCTATCGCACGAACCACTGATACAGCGAAATTTTGAAAATTAAAAAAAATGGCAGCATTTTGAAGTTTAAATATCGATTTTCCTTGTGCTTTTCGTCTTTTGGGTGGTAAAAAAAAATAGAAAAAAACATCAGGTTTTGAAATCCGTGGTTCATGCGTTAATGGTACATCCGGTGTAGATCTCCTGCAAATTTCAAGTCAATCGGTTAACCAAAACGTGAGATATCCCGTCAGCCAGTTTAAAGAATATGGATTTGAGATTTGAAGTTTCTGTTAGCCATTGTACAAAAATATTCATACTCACAATCAATCAGGCAGTACAAAAAATAGAATATTATAAAATAATAATAATATAAAAATAAATAATAATATCATAAAAAAATAAACTCAAAATAAAATACTTTTTTGAGAAAGGCACATTTGAAGTTTATGTCACCCGTTGTACAAAAATATTTATACTTACAATCAATCGGGCAGTACAAAAAATAGAATGTTATAAAGTAATAATAACATAAAAATAAATAATAATAATATAAAATAATAATATAAAAATAAATAATAATATCATAAAGTAAAATATTTTTTGAGAAAAACACATTTGAAGTTTCTGTTACCCGTTGTACAAAAATATTCATACTTACATCGCGAGCAGTACACCGTTTCCTTTAAACATTTAGAACTTTGCTAATTTTACGAATTCAAACAAAGACATTTTCGAAAGCATATATTTTGAAAAAAATGTAAAAAGAAGAGTTGATTTTTTGAAAGCTGGATTACCAGAATACCCCCTTAACTGTATCAGAGAAAACAACGTTGCCTCCGTTGCCCACCGAAAATTAATTTCCCATTGAGAATACCTGCGAATAAAGCTGAAATAATGTTTGAAAAAATTCTTCACGCTAGCAACGTTCCAGAATTGGCGAGCATTTTTATCATCGTCGTCTTTGCGATCCAGTTTCAGGCCGATCGTGAAAATTTTCGGTACTTTGGGCACGAGATTCATGAAGGTGTTTTTAACCGGAAACGCTTCGGAGAGGCAGCGATTGTCAAACGTCGCGGTCTGGCTATTCAATCGTTCTATGACAATTTTCGGGGACCATTTTCTGTAAGTCACTCTGCGCGATAGACAGTGATCGGTTCGTTGAAAGTCTCTCTTTATTCGATCGATGTAGAGAAACGCCATTCCAAGTATACTCAATTTTTGTCACTGTATCGAGAAGAGATATATAATCAGAAGTCGACAACCAATGAATTCTAGACGAAACACCGCAAGGTGATTGATCTGACAAAAAGATGAATTTGTACCACGTTACTTAACCTCGATCGTTACGAAATAATACGATTTCATTGTATCTATTTTTTGTTATATCTATAATATTACGAACACGTTAATTAACACACAATCAATACTAACAATGAACGAAATGCATTCCTGCTTCGGCGTTTGAATAAGTTGGAGGTTAAAATAGAAATGAAACGACCGAAGATCACATTTTGGCCATTATATATCAAATTTCCAACTAAATGAAACAGAATTCACCGTGACAAATGAATTTAGCATGGATTGTTTTGGGAATTTGCGGCTGCGTGAAACTGCGCATAATTGAACTCGCTCCTCGAACTAATCCGAAATATGTAAATGGTTGCACGATGTTATAGAACGATCGAACGTTAAACTATACACACGAGAAATAATAAACAATGACGATGATATTCTCAGGAACAAAGTTTCACAGATAACAAGAAGAATAATAATAACTGAGAAGTTGAAAAAGACCTTCTCAACGAGGGAGGATGCAAAATAAACGGGGGTTGAAAGGAACAAAATCATAAAAATATAATGTGACAAAATGGTCAAACGTTAAAACATACACGAATAATAATAATGATAATGATATTCTCAGAAGTAGAATTTACATAATAATATATAATAATGATGATGATATCCTCAGAAATAAAATTTGCATAATAATACATAATAATGATGATATTCTTAGAAGTAAAGTTTGCATAATAATACATAATAATGATGATATTCTCA